TTACAGTTCTAAATTGACTACTTGCCAATAAACAAATTAGTTTTGCATTTAACCTTTTGGTATGATATACATATGTACCTAAATATAATACAGTTTTATCCTTTCTAATAATATCTGCTTAAATTTTTATCAACGCATCTTGTAGCTATTCTGGAAGGACTTTTTACAGGGCTCTCAAATGATGCCCTGGCAATGGGTGATCTTCCATTTATTTCATTCCTACCTTCCTCCTTCACCCTGGCAGGAAAGTTAATGAGCCCATATGACTGGTGGAGCCAATGGAGGACCTCTGTTTAACAGGAAGTAAAAATGAGAATGCCTACATATCTGTGAAAAATCTCAGTGCAATACCTTATGGCTTAATTTGCACAGAGATGGGGTAGAGTTTAACTGGGAAGTAAAGTCATGGGTGGATGATTATGTCATTCTTGAAGTTACGTCACTTCTTAAACTGTATTGTAACAGGAGCTTTAGATTTACAACGAAATTCCACAAAATACTTCATGATGCCATGGATGCTTTGAGTATGACTGTGTCTAAAGACAAATAGCCTTTTGTTATTGCCTGCAGTTTTATTATTCCTATTTTAAAAACCAGTATTTAAGTAAAGAAAAAAATCATGGGTCTTATTTGTAATTTTTGGTCTTTCCTTAAAAGTTATCATGTAGAATTGGGAGATAAGGCCAACTATCTAGTCAGGGCAGTGAAATCAACTCCAGTTCATAATATTGTGACAGACTACGTTGTTGAATTCTGAAATTGTACAGTTCCCATTCACTCCAGCCGTGGTCTAATTGAGATGCTGGTTACCACATGGATTAGCCTGCACCCCGCTAGCTCCCAAATTAATGAGATAACATGGTTGTTGTCAAGTGTCTGGGATAGAGCTCAGAACATAGTAGACACTCAGTTAATGGCACGTGATGATATTTATTTACTTTCAAGAATGCTCAGTGGCTGGCAATCTCCCAAAGAATGCTTTACATGCTATTTCAGAAATTTGTTCAGGACACTGGATTATAAACTCTGGGGGCAAAGATGTAATTGTGTTATCCCCAAGGCCTAGCACAGTGTCTCATACGTAGTAGGTACTAAATATATATTTGAGGTTTTACTGAATGATCAGTGCTGTGGGCTTCTTGGAATTACAGAAAGAAAAGGGTTGGAAAAAGGTATCTACTTTGCAGTAGGAATAACATGGACAAAGATGGCCCCCTTTGTTTTAGAGGAGTTTCATTGATATTTTAGATAAAAAGAAAAAAACAGAATGGTCCATTTTCAACAGTTTGGAAGATATGAGGACCAGAGATTTTTAAACTGGCAAGCAAGTTGATGAATTCATGTTTTACCAAAAATCACAAGATGCTCTGCCAAGTTGTCTTATCTCTGATAGGTTTACATTTGAGCAGGTGCCTCAGGATGGCAGGTGGAAAAGACTAAAGAATTAGTTTAAGAATTTGACCTTAAAAATTCCTTTACTGACTACTTTCTGTGTACCAGCACTGTGCTAGGTAATGTTTATACACTGTCATTGCAAATTCAAAAACCATGAGATCAGTAAATTTACCTCTACTTCATAAGAGGAACTTCATGTGCAGTGATTTATCCTCTCCTTATAAAAACATTACTTTTGTGCTGTAATTCACATACCATAAACCTAACCATTTAAAGTGTGCATGTCAGTGAGTTTTAGTATATTTAGAACTATGTAACTACCTCATTCTTGAAGACACATACTCTCTCTCTCTCTCTCTCTTTTACCTAATGTCTAGGGAAGCTTTTTTCTATGGTTGGTTAAAAACTAACTTCACAAATTGAGTAGGCAGAACTTTACTAGCACACCAAGAAAATGGTTTATAGCTTAAGTATGAGCCAGACATTTGTCTGAATCCCAGCCCCTTGATACTGGTTGTGTAACCTTAGGCAAGTTTCATTATCTGCAAAAAGGATATAAAAATTAAATTCACTTACAGCATGTAAAATGCTGCCTGATACATACCAAATGCTCAATGACTGTTAGCTATTACTGTTATTAATAGAAGTGCACATTAACAGATCCTCCTGGTAACTGAATATTGTAGGATCCTGAAACAGTTTCTGAGTCATGAAAATTGTAGTCAAGAAAAGTATTCTTATTTCATTCTAATTCTTTGCAAATTGATGATACATGAAATGTAATTTAAAATAAAAAATACTTTACAAGTTGATTATTTTGCATTCAGAAGGCATTTTCCCATTTAAACACTACTTCCTGTGACAGAGCCAGCTAGCTGCCTACCCAGATGCCTACCTAATAGCCCTTTCTTCCTGAGAGCACAGACCTTATTCTGGACGGCACTGTGTGGGGTAAAGGACTGTATTTCTGGACTCTGTTCCAGCTGGGATACCAAAGAGATATAAATAGATATTGCAGGATAGGACTTCCAAAACTCAGTTGGGAGAGGAGTCTTTTGCACTTGCTCCCTTCCTCTTACTCTGGGTCTTGATCATGGACCTGATGTCTGGAGCTCTGATAGCCATCTTGGACCATAAATTGAACTTGAGAGAGAAAACTACTTGTTCAATATGAAGAAAGGTGGGAGCTAGGTGCCTAATAGCATGGACTGTCTCATCTTCTTTTACATGAGAGAAAAACAACCTTTTTGAACATTATCTGGTTATTGTGCACTACACAGGCATACCCAATTTCAATTCACACTTTTACTTTTCTTGGTCAGCTCAAAATGTACTTAAAAGAATACTACATTCGTGCAAACAAGCACTCACTGAGCATCTGCTGTTATGTGTCAGTCATTGTTTTGGAGGCTGGATATGCAAGGGAAAAAACAATCTCTGCTCTTAGAGAATTAACAGTTTGATGGAAGAGACAAATAATCAGAAATAGTATAATGCCATCAGTGCTAGAAAGAAGGGAAAGAGGCTATCAAGTGAAAAGCAAAGAGAATTTTAGGCAGTGAAGTACCTGACAGAAATGACCCATGATGCACAGCAGCATTTCTATGAGGAAACGAATTGTATCAATTTAGATACTAAAAACATTATATAACCTTTGACAAGAAGGGGCCGGGCCTTTGTATTTATGCCATCCCTTCATCCAGTGAGATCTAAGTTGGTAGAGGGTAGTCTTGGCACATTGGAACACCATATAACATCTGCTGAAGTAACGCTGTGCACTTCAATAAAGAGCATTCAGAGGGTTAAAACTCACAAGGTAGAAGTGGGAAGAGGGGACATTTGATAAGGAAGTAAAGGGTGTCCTCCTACCCTTTCCTCACAATGAACCTAAACTGAAGAAAAAAAAAATGAAATGGATGGGATGGAAAGGCTGGGTTGCCTTTCCTTTGTCTACCCTGTCTGTCCTGGTCACCTGCAGTCCAGGGGAGAGGAGAGGTGTGAAGACAGGAACAATTTGCAGCACTGAAACATACCTTGGAATGCTGGTGCAGACCCAGCGGGGGCATGGCGTCAGGGACTGGGCCGACCTCTCGGGCACACATACTAACTCCCAAGAGTAACTTGAACCCTTTAGTCTTTGAAAATGCAAATACAAGTTAACAGTTTTCAATTTAAAGGCCATTTTATAAAACTAAAAATGCTTCCAAGGGCAATGAATTGTTCAATCCTGTAAAAATTGTCTTGATCTATTACAATATACTTAGACACTTGGCCTAGAAAATCTCTTGACTCAGTAACATGCAGAGAAAAAATGTGGAACTCTTACAAACAAAAAAAGAAAAATTTACTGATAGCCATAGGTTGTATGTTAGGCTTTTTCACATACATTCTCTTCTTTTATCCTCATAACTTAGTTAAAGATGGCTTTACATTTTATTTTTACAGATTAAGTAAATGTGGTTAATTGACTTGCTTAAGGTCACATGCTAGTAAATGATGAAAGCAGGACTCAACCAAAGGGCTACTGCCTGTCTCTGCTCTTTCCACTTGAACTTTTACTTGTATACCTAGATTCAACATTAGAACCAAAATACTAAATAGCCTTAAACAGTAAAGCACCAGAAGATTCTATTTTTCTTATTATTTGGAAATGTAAGTTCTTTAGCTCAATAACTGCTTACTCAGTCAGTGAGTTACACATTGTATAGATCTGTTAAATAAAGTGTCTCTCTGTTCCTTCTTTACACAGTGCTTCAACAGCAGCCTTTCTACAAGAGTTGGCTTTTATTTATTTCCCAGAAATCAGCTGCATTTTTACCTTAAAAAAAATTATTGTATTTTTCCATTATCATTTAACCTCCTTCTATCCCCCCCCACCCCTGTGGCAATCACCATACTGTTGTCCGTGTCCATGAGTCCTTTTTCCTTTTTGCTCCACCTCTCTAACCTCTAACCTCCCTGTACAATAGCTGTAATCCTTGCTCTCTTATCTATGGGTCTGTCTCTATTTTGCTTATTAGTTCAGTTTGTTGATTAGACTCACATATAAGTGAAATCATATGGTATTTGAGACTTAGCTTTTAATTTAAAAACATCTAGTAGTTATCAAGTCCAAAATTAGCAGGATAGCAGGAATTTCTCATCTGTTTTTATTTACTGCATATTCCACTAAGTCCAACAACAAAAAAAGAACCATTAACTCAAGATAATGTATCTTACTCTACTACCCTATAGGACAGTTTAGTAGTGAGTTTCACCTCAATGAATACTGACTACAGGAAAGAAAGAAACAAACAAAAAAGATTTTTTTTCAACCACCTTTACTGGTTCACATAAATACTTGAAAACAAATACATCTGTTTTCCCTTTTTCTATCCATGGCACAATTTATCATAGATCTTAATAAACAAAGTACTGTAAATATTCATAAGGGGCAAATGAATTTTAAAATATGAAAGAATGGTCAATAAATAGCCAACTATGTCAACCAGCCAAATAGGTCAACCATTAAAAGGACTGTTTTTTAAAAAAATTAAGTCACTGATTCACTTTTATTAAAATAAAGTTCATATAAAATAAGGTAATTTATAACTTGATCTTAACTCAATTTTGATAGCAGTTGAATTTTTACATTAAAAAATTGCAAAATTTCAACTAAAGAACAAAATAAACATTCAGACACAAGTTTATCTTTTGAAAATTCTGTCGACTTCAGCAAATAAAGACTGACTGCATTTCAGTTTACATTAGTCCTCTGGTCCAGAATACACATTCCATTTAAAATATTTTTAGTCACTCTTCTGTATTTCAGGTAGCTTCTAGTGGGAATTAGTATATAGTCTGTTCTTGATGAAGACAATACTAGACAGATGTTGCCTGATGCCCGGATAATGCTGAATATGACAAAACCAGCGAGACACATTAAGATATTTCTCCTTTTCTTGAACTGTCAGGTCAACCTAAGTAGAAATTAAACACACATACACAACACAGACATTACATAAGCACAACTATTAATAGCATCTGAATAGGAGATAGGAATTGGGGAAAAAAACCCAGTTGTCAAAGCCAACATGTTCAGATAGGAGTGAAAAATTTCAGGCACTTGGAAGAGCCATCCATTTGTTTAATGCTTTTATGTTCAGTTCAAAACCAGATGTGCTTTCTAGGGAAATCAAGTTTGCAACAAATGCCAATTTTATTTTAACCTAGGCTCTGGAAGCCCAAAGAGTTTGGTTGTTACTTTTTTGTAAAGGAAAATGGGAGAAAGAAAGCGAACAGCTTCCAAAACATTAAGACATGGTTTTCTCTAATATTTTTGAGCAAACTTAAAAAAAGAAAGATTTAGTGGCATCTAACATACTTAACAAGGGAACACTATATAAACTCATAATGTATGTATCTACAGATATTTATAGATGGCTGGGATATATACATGTGAACTAATGCTTCCTTTCTATTGAACTCTGGGGAAAAATTTCACTCAAGAAGACAATGACTCATATAATTAAGTGATTATTGCTTAATACAAGAAGGAAGGGCTATTTTCACTGGTAAATTCCTCAGATGAACCACAGACCTTCTAAATCCTATTTTCAATAAAGCTGAATTCAGTTCTATCTTCAGTGGATATAACAGTTTACAGAATATAATCTCTAACGACAAGAATGCCCAGAGATTTGGTTGGAAAAAGATGCAATAAAAAAGAGTTGTTGCCCATCATTTCCCTGGGCTCAAATTCTAAATTAGGCTTTTCTCTAAGACAAATCTTGAGATTGGAATCATGAAGAGTTGTCCGGTAAAGAGAAAATCCGTAGGGCAGTAACTCCCAGCCATGACCCATGTACAAGTAGTGCAGTTCCTGCTCCTCTTGTTAATTCAACATTTATTTAAGGGGTATTGCAAGTTTCCATAAAATGGACAGAAATGCTTACACAAAGAAAAATACTTGTCACCCTCATGTGGTTCAAACCCATTAGCAGTCTGCTTGTTGGAAGGTAATTTCAGTGAGATGGATGTCCTATCGCTGCTCAGAATTAGCATATACATACTTGTGCTTATAGACAAATACTCTGTTAAGTTACTGGGTCAAGAAAAATGAAGGATAAATCACTATAGTATGCAATAATTATTACAGAATACAAAATAATATTAGCAACCAAAAAATAGACACATAGTATTTTCTCAGTAAATGTTTAAGTGAACTCTTATTTCCATTTTATATTTACTATGAGGCAACTGAAAAAGAAAAACTAATTCAAGTTATCCTGCCTTCCTTTTTTGCCATTATGACTTCAGGATACCATTGTTTCAGTATCTGATCTTTTAATATTATCTTTGGGGGTCTCAACTATCTCTGTTGGCCCAGTTTACTTAAATAATTAATAGTGAGACTCTCACTGCTTCTATTACATAAAAATTTAAGTTTTGGGTTTAAGTCCTAACACAAAAGCTGCTATAGCAAATTAGAAAAAAATACCCGTTTAAGGGAGTGTAAGGTTACATCTAGTTACCAGACATACGCTACTATAACTGTTTCACCTACAATATAATTAGTCCATGGCACAGAGATAAAAAAATTGGTCAAGAATGTCTTTTTTAAGCAAAAAGTACTTTTTATTAAACAAGAATTAATGCTATATTCCTGTCTGGTGTGCTGTACATACTTAACCACTGTGGAATAAACTAAGTATTAGTCTGTATTTCCAAAGGTAAAACACATTTTATAAAAGAGGTTTTTGGTTCTTTTTCTAAATCTTTACCATATGTGAACTTTACCACTGATTTTGAAGAGAAAACGGAAGATTTTTTAAAAAGCTTAACCACTAGTAAACATAGCTGCAAATCTAATAGGAAATGGGGGTGAGTTCTCCTAAATAAATAAATAAAATTCAAAATCAACTTCAGCAAACCTCTTTACTGATAGTTAAAGCAAAGAGAAAAACAAGTTTTGGAAGGGGAAGGGGAAGGGTCAGATCAAGGAACAGGTGTGCAGGACACATGGACAAAGCCCAGGTGGGGAAGGATTGATGGGGGAGACGGGGGTGGGTGGGGCAGGGGAAAGTGGTGGCGGGAAAATGGAGACAAATGTATGTGAATTTTTTTAAAAAAATAATTAATTAATAATAAAAAAAAAAGAAAAACAAGTTTTACTCCAACATGATTTCATGATCATTCAAATCTGACCACTTTCTTACAATTTACTCTCTCCAGAACTTTCTTCTATAAGGTCTCTACTCAGCCATTTTTTGTGAGATGTTATTTTTCAGAATGAATTAAATGCACCAAGAAGAAAGCATTTCCAAACAACAAAGTACTAATGCTTGTTGGATCTATGATTTTGCATGATCAACTATGCAAGTTGATCATGGAGACTTTGAAACAGCGTAAAAAGCCAATGTATATTTACTATTTACATTTCAGAACAGTGTCTGCTATCAGAGGACTAGCATATGCTGCTACCAGGCTTATTATTTAAAATAACTATTAACACACAGCAAAATCATGGTTCTTCAACTTAAAAATTTCATATTTAGAATCTCTAGTGTAAGGATTGTAACATATCCACTGTATAAAATAATTGTTATTCCAAGACCTTCTTAAACTTCATCTAACACTTTCCAATGTACTCTAATAATTTTTATCTACATGATGTATTTCAGAGAATATAAATTTGTTCACTTTCCCTCAGAAAACTTTGCTAGAGAGACACAGAGCTTTTCCAAAATGTGCAAGTTACCACTTAACCTCCTTTTAGTTTAAACTTTGGAGCTTGTCCCTTGAGTCTCAGATAATTATGACTGACCTCTACTTGCTACCTTTGCTACTTTTTGGGTAGACAATCTATTTCTGAACTTACTGTAAACAAACAGCACCAAACTTATTCTTTTTAGAACTTTTTGGATGGAATCCCCATTGACTATGTCACTTACGACTTGGTTTTCCCATTTCTAGTGGACAAGTTTGGTGTCATTGCCCCCCCTCCCCGCCCCCATCCAGGTAAAACAGGAAACACAATGCAATTGTTCTAGTTACCCCTTCCTGCTCCTCACTGGTCTACATGCCAGTGTGTCAGTGATGCTTGGCTCTTTCTACTTAACCATTCCCTCTGTATTTCTACTGGTACTTTATTACTAGTTTGAAATTTAAAGAGAAACAGATAATATTCTTAGTCACTAATTTTCCATGAAGACATGTGAGAAACACTTGAAAGACCATTCCAGATCAAGGTGAAATGCTGGTTTGCTATCTTTCCCACTGGCACCACACTGCCTTTGCGGCACATGCTATGGCTGGAGTCCTGGACTACTTGCAGTTCTTTCTTGTTTTACTTTTCTTTTCTTTCTAAAAGAATGACCTATCTCCATCAGTCTTCTGAACTCCAAAACAAATGGATTATAGTTGATAACAATCTCATACTCCAGCAGCACATAACGTTACAAAGGATTTTAATAATCTTGAGTAACAGTCTGTTCAGAGGGACTGCTATCTACTAGTGAAATCAGTTTAAGAAAGCAATGAGTCACTGTTATGTTAATAAACAGCCACACTAACTGGCAGTTTAACAAAGGAAGAACAACATAATATTCCTCAGAGGGAATTTAGATAGGCCAGATCTTATAATTAGAGTATGTCGGCCACATTTAAATTGGGTTCACACTGAAACAAAATACAGGAGGATTTTTTGAAGACTTGAAGGTTCCCTGACTGTTGTTTTGTACACTGCACTGATTACATTTTAAGTATTTAATAACATGAACAAATACATGAAAGAACAAGGGCAAAAATACATATACTGCCAAAGCAAACAGAAATTATCTGATGAATATGAGCAGTAGCCGATGTGAACTTCACATCTACTCTGCCTAAATTTGATACCCAGTAATCATTTTTTTCTCATCTGGGTATATTTACACCTAACTCAACAGGGATGTCATGTAACACCACAGTGCAATTCTGTCACAGTATAGGTTGTAGTCTGTGAGGCCTGTTCCCTGAGAAAGTGTTGATTTCTCCCAGGTACTTTGCCTGCATTTGGACCAGGATGAGAGAGATGCTTTGGTTATGAGCTCATTTTATGAACCCAAAGGATGGTTAACTTACAATTATGTTTTTAAAAAGATAAGCATAATATCCATCATCAAAATATCCTACTCACTACATATAAAGAGGATATACATTTCAAAATAGGAATCATAAATAGGTACAGATCATTCAATACTGTCACTATAACCCTCATTTTAACATGCAGCATTGAATGAAACACTTCTAACCTGCTTGAAAATCAAATGTCCTGGGAGGCACCTAGACTTATACTTAAATAACTACAGCTGGCACTATGAGTACTTTGCAGTATGGAAACATGACCTTGTTCACTCTGCTGGCAAAGAAATTCTACACAAGCTCCCTCCTGTTCAGATTATTTCCTTTCCCTACTGCATGACCTACATAAGCCCGACAACAGAAAAAATGTAAATTTACATTTGGTTTGTAAGTTACTCATTTTTATTATCTTTTTTAAAAAAATTAGATGGGAGAAATGCTTTTCTTCTTAATGACAGCTTGATGCTAAATGAAGCCAGACCTTGTGAGGGTCTTGACAGGCTTTCATTGGCCTGTTGGGGGGAATCAACATAGGATTAGAGATGACATTTCTCTAACATTAACTTTAAAATTAATTGTCATATTTAAATGTTTTTAAAATGTCACTGTGTTGTTGTTTTCAGATATAAATTGTTCTTGTTCCCCTCTATAAGGCAGCTTTGCTCACAGCACTGTAGTCTCTCTCAAATCAAGTTATGGACTTCCCCAAGTTGAAAGACCCCTGGGTTTGCACCAGGAAAAAGACAGATACCTTAATAGCAAGCAACTCTTTTTACCTGGAGGCATTTTGCACTTCCAAATGAGATTTTTTAAAAAAAGCTACTAAGATATTTTGAATCAGAATGAAAGAGGATGGTGTGATCAAAGTATTTCAGCTCTACTTAAACTGTCTTCACATTTAAATGATTATTTTAGATTTAATTATATTGAAGTATGTAATTAAATATTATACTTTTACTATAAAGTTATACAACCTAAAGTAGGAAATATAAAGAGAGATTGCTAAATATTACTAATCTCAACTAGCAGTTAGCTGCACAAGGCACTGTGCTAAGGTGTGGAGAGGTACAAAGGAAAATATGAAGTAATTCTCCTCAATCTCCTTATTTTGCTTAAAATTGAGTCTTATTCCTTTTATGGGTGGGGAACATTCATGCTACTTTATTTCTGTTGGATCAGTGTAATTATTAATAGACTCCCTTTCTCTTAAAAAGTGTTGTTTCAGATAATAAATCATATGGTCATCCTACTTTAAGCAATATTTAGAGTCGAATTTATCATAAGCTTTCTAAAACAATAAAAATTACCTTGGAGAGCCAAAGCCATCCACATTCAAAGATATTGTTCTGACAATTTCATGATTCTATATTCTCACTTTCTCTATATGCCTCTTCAACTGATCACACAATATTCTAATCAGAAATTAGCACTAGATTCCATTTTCTCTTATTCACTAATTGTTTTCATGTAAAATAGTCTTATCTCCTCAATGCGATCAAAAGTTGCTTGAAAATAGTTTTATACTTCTTTTATGTCCCTCCAGTATAGTATAATGGGCACATATAGGAAGCTCTTATTAAATAAACTTGTAATAAAAGAGACTATTATGCTGAATTAAGGATCATACTAGGCTGTTACAATAATATAGAACTTAACACAATCACTTAGGAATCTTAGAAATAATGTTTAAAAAGTCATGTCAATCCACACTGAAGAATTATAGTTTGAGTAGGGGACAAAGGACAATTGCCATACATCACTGTGGCATTCTGCTTATGAAGGGCTTCCCCATGTATTCTGACAGTTGAGTCAGAAGACGAAGTCTGTCTTGGCCCTTCCAAAACGTGAGCTCTGGGGCTTTGCATAAAGTACTCAATGTTTCTAAGCATTAGTTTCCTTCTCTGTCACAGGAGGACAATTCAACTAGTTTTATCTCCTTCAGAACTATAAGGTGCAATGAGAAAATATATATAAAACTGTGAAAAACGTAAGAGATGTGTGAATTATGTTGTTCAATGTTTATGGAGGAAGGGAGAGACTATACACCTATACCAGGAATTATGTCAGACGGTGCTACAAATATAAATTGTTACAATCTCTAACTCAAACAGTTTATAACTTAAAAGACAGAGAAATTTTCTAAGACATACAGTAAAAAATAAAGCAAGCCAAAACTGAGATGGTCCGAGGTACACAGAGAAATGGAGAAAGAGCACTTGGATGTGCTTTAGGAGCCCAAGAGGACTTCCTCAGGAAAATTAGTTTTAGAACTGGGTGACACTTGAAATACAAATGAATTTGGGAGGAAGTTAAGGGCTGGATCAAGCAGCAAAAGAGAGGAGCAGTGCAAGAACACTGAGCTGAAAGAGTAAAGGCTGAGGAGACTCCAGGAGTACATTATGGCTGAGAGAGAAGTGCTTGGGGAGAATAATGACAATGAGGCCTGCAAGGGAGGCAGGGTCACATGAAGAAGGGTCTCCTATCTGAGGCAGCGAGAAGCTACTTAATTATTTTGAGAAAGACACATCATGAGAAAAGCTGCCCCTGTGGCAATAAAGATGGACCATAAGAGATGAGACTGGTGGCAGGAGGACATTTCAATAGCCCAGACTGAAGATAATGACTTCTGGAACGAGCGCAAAGTCATCTAGGATCATAGCAAAAAACAAACTGGAAGGGAATCCACAAAGTGGAAATAAGACCTCACTGACTGAATGCATGAGGTGCAGAATACAGAAAAACATGCGAGTTCTTTTTTCTTCACCGGGGGAAGATGAGAGTTGGGAGGTTTTAGGTAGAAAAATGTAAGAAAGTTCAAACTCTGGGTCAAACTGCCTGGTTTCCAGACCTGGTTTTGCCTCTTACTTGGATGATCTCAAAGCAGACATTTGACCTCTCTATGCCTCAGTTACTTCATCTGTAAAATGGGGACAACTATCTATTTTTCAGATAGTAATGAAGATTAATTGAGTTAACATTTATAAAGCATACAGAACAGTGCCTATAGTTAGTGCCACATAATTGTTTATAAATAAATTTTAAGATGGGAAACAATTTAAGGTAAAGAGACTGACCACATAGAGGGAAAAATTGAAGATATAAGAAAGGAAAGATATAAAATTTGGGACAAGATCCAGAAAAGGGGCAGGAGGTAGAGGGGGAATTGAGGTAAGAGGCCAGATGAATGGATTAGCTGAGATAAAAAGCAAGATGATTCTTTCTGAGGCCAGAAAAAGGAGACAAGATGAATGTGGATGTGCACATAGGCCAGGCTGGAAGGTGAGTGTATTCAAAGGCTGGCTTCTATTTTCTAGCTGAATAAGGGATGGAAGGCTCTGTGATAATGACTGAAGATACAGCAGGAGGCAGAAAGGTAGGACTTGAGCAAAGTGTTAAAGGTCTGGAGTTGTGCCTGGGAGGAATAAAAGAGCTGTTCAGTATGACAGCCCTGCTGAAACTGAATAGTATAAATTTGCAGTGGTATCAATCTGCAGTGTTGTCCTATCTCCAACAGAACTCAGCCTGGCTATGGTATTGTTGGCATTTATTTAGACTGACCAAGAGTTGGGGATGTACAGAGAAAGAGTGGTAAAGGTACAGTGGAACAAAGAAGCTGAAGATGCTGTAATAAAAGGATGTAGTCAAAGATACACAAAAGGGGTTCTAGGTTGGACAGGGAAGAAAGTATGTAAGTTAGAAAAAAGGGAAGGAGTTACTTCAGATAATGAAGGGATTTAGGGAATAAGAGATTAGGACTTAAGGATAAGAAGTTGCACAGAAGATGGAGGGGGTGGAATTCAAATGGAGAGGTGGGGTCCAGGTGATGATGATGACACAGTTTAAAAGGTGGCAAGAGCAGCAGTTGCAAAGAAGAACAGAATCAAGAACAGGAATTAAGCAGGTCAAGGAAGAGGGAGCAACTATATTTGATGGACGCATGGAAGGAATAACTGCATAAAGTACTTTGTATAAAAATTATTCCTTTCACTTTTATTTGATAAACTGAAAACTGAAATTTGATTTAAATTCAAGACAAAAAAAATCATCAGAATATTACAGAAAAAAAAGCCAATAACTATTCAAATACTCACTATGAAGCGATGGAGTCCATAGTATAATAGGATATCTGCTAAGGTAAAATTATATCCTGTAAGGTAGACTTTATCTTCAAGATATGAATTAAGATCCTAGAAAAAACAAATAAAATATTTATTTAAAAAACAGTAATATTAAAGTTAACTACCATATCATTTGACTTTAAAATGTTTAGAAGGCTATTAGAAAACAGAATACTTATATTTAGTTTAATAAATTATCTTTGACATTAATAGATCGATTCATTAAAAATCATAAATCGTATACTAATCACCTCATTTAACAAATAGGGCAAATAATTTGTTAGAGAAACAAGAAAATCTTAAAAATGATATTCAAAATGATCATTTAAGACTCTCAATTTTTATTTGGGGGGGATATTTTGTAAATTATGCCCATGTTAAGATTTATTTTTTCCATTAAAATATAAAAAGCTTCTCAACAATCTCTAACTCTTCAGAATTATAATTTATTGGCTTGCTGCATTTTCATACATGTATATTTTTACATTTTTAATTGTGGTAGAATACATGTAACATAAGATTTACCTTCTTAAACATTTTTAACTATATAATTCATTAAGTGTTAAGGGTATTCACACTGTTGTGCAACCAATCTTCAGAATTTTGTCATCTTGCAAAACTAAAACTCTATTAAACAACTACCCATTTCTCCCTCACCCCAGACCCTGGCAACTGCCATTCTGCTGTTTCCAAAAATTTGACTACTTTGGATACTGCATGTAAGTGCAATGAGAGTATCTGTCATATGCAACTAGCTTATTTCACTTAATATGTGTTCTTCAAGGTTCATCTATGTTGTAGCATGTGTCAGAATTTCCATCCCTTTTGAGACTTAATATTATCCCACTGAATGTATATACCACGTTGTTTATCTATTCATCTGTTAATGGACACCTGCATTGTTTCCACTCCTAGACTATTGTGAATAATAATACTATGAACATGGGTGTATATACATCTGTTTGAGACCCAGTTTGGGTATATGAGTATATCTGCAAGTGGAATAACTGGGTCATATGATAATTGTATCTTAATGTTTTGAGGAAACACTGTGTTTTATAGCAGCTGTACCATTTTACATTCTCAACAATGTACAAGGTTTCTAATTTCTCCACACCCTCATCAACATTGTTATTTTCTCTTTCTTTAGTGGTAGCTAACCTAATGGATGTGAGGTGATATTTCATTATGGTTTTGATTTATATTTTCCTAATTATTATTAATGTTGATCATCTTTTCATATGCTTATTAGCTTTGTATACCTTATCTGAAGAAATGTCTATTTAGGTCCCTTGTTCATTTTTTCATTGGGTTCTTAGTTTTCCTTGGTTGAGCTGTAGGAGTTCTTTATACAGTGTCCAGTATAAATAATGCCCCTTTTTTATTACAAAATCTTTTATTACAAAATCATAAACATGGAATTCTGTAAAATGACAACATCACATTCAAGCACACCATATGACATTTTAGGTGAAATGTTCAAATTAAAACTATAAATTATTACACCCATATTATGACCCTACCATCCACACTCGAGTAGGCCTTACTTCTGCTGGACCCTGTATTTCTGTGTATTAATCCTTTATTAGATATATAATTTGCAAATATTTTCTCCTATTTCATGGGTTGCTTCTTCACTCTGTTGATTGTGTCTGTTGATGAACCAAAGTTTTAAATTTTGATATAGTCCAAAATTTTTATGTTTGATGCCTGTTCTTTTGGTCCATATCTAAGAAATCATTGTCAAATCAAATGATGTGATATTTTCCACTATGTTTTCTTCTAAGAGTTTTAGTTTTAGGTCTATGTTTAGAACTTCCCATTTTGAGTTAATTTTTATATATTGTGTAAGATAAGGGTTTAACTTCATTCTTTTGCAATTGGATATCTAGTTTTTCTAACACCTTAAAGACTCCAGTTTTAAACATCACTTAAAGCTACACAAAGTTCTATCATTTGTTCTTCAATTATCATCAATTTTTAAAGGTTAAGTATATACAAAAGAGTTCATTTAACATCATTACAAAAAAAAATACTAATAAGCACTGAGCTCCCTAAATAGCTAATAGGTACTTTTGAAGGAAAAAAATATTTAAAGTACATGTTAAAAAAAAAATTAAAAAATCTTAAAAGGTCCTAATCTAACTTAAGTATTGTCTGAAAGGCCACTAAGAATAAATCAGTTAATTTCCTGAGAAAAGAAAAACATCTAGGTTGAAAAAAATATATATATAATACTTTTGGTCCCTCTCAAATTTAATATATAATTTAAGAGCACAGGCATTTATATTCAATTACCTTTAAATTAAGTAAGACAAAATATTTGTATAACCTTTAGAGAAAGGTTTATAAATAAGTGATATGAATTATTGTCAGATAGTCTCACAGGCTCCTCTAAAGGCTCCTTATAAAACACTACCCAGTAGTCAACAGCATTTATTCTGGAAAAATTTCTTAAACTGTAGAGACAGCATTATATTTCCTTAAATCACATTCCAAATGTCTAGTACACAGTGGTTCAGTAATCAGCAAATATTTGCTGAACTGAATTTAACCTCTTTAAGTTCACCACACCTTCTTTTAAAGACAGTAACTTTCAAAAGTCCGTAAGAATATGAACTGGTAGGGGTGTTATAGATGAGGGCATAGAGAAATGTGGACATAAATAAGGAGATAAATTCAGAAGAGTCAAATTAAAATTTGGATAGGAAGGATAAAATATATTAGGAGCTACCACTTAAGTTCTACAGTAATCTGCTGAATGGAGATAGTTTCTCTCCAAACATCTTCAAGTGAAACAACTTTGAAAAAGTATAAAAATAAAATAAATTTATCTTAATTTTAAGAAGCATTTCTAGATAAGGTCTGAAACAATAATTTCTTTTTTAAGATTCATTTATTTTATTTTTAGGTAGAGGGAAGGGAGGGAGAAAAAGAGGGAAACATCAATGTGTGGTTGCCTCTTGTGCACACCCCTATTGGGGACCTGGCCCCCAGTGCTGACTGGGAATCGAACCGGCGATCCTCTGGTTTGCAGGCCGATGCTCAATTCACTGAGCCACACCAACCAGGGACTGAAACAATAATTTAACACTCCTTAATGTAGTGTTTATATTCTTAAAAGTAAAATCTATCTAAATGTTTTCTTTATACAGACTCTTACATGGTTACAATTTTTTTTAAGCCTGGCTCCAGAGGGACCATTATTTTACCACTTTTTAAAAAAAATTAATTTATTTTTAGACAGAGGGGAAGGGAGAAAGAAAGAGGGAAACAGCAATGTGTAGTTGCCTCTCGCACACCCATACTAGGGACCTGGCTCACAACCCAGGCATGTACCCTGACTGGGAACTGAACCAGCAACGCATTGGTTCACAGGCTGGCACTCAATCCATGGCACCACACCAGCCAGGGCTATAATCTTATAACTGAAGACAGAAAATTATGATTAGGTAATATTTTTCTGAATAGTGTCTCTAATGTCTAATGTTATTTCCTTTTCTTTTTTTTCACAAGTCTTTCTGTTGCTATCGCCAAACTTTAAAAAATTACTTCCCCCTATAGAGTTCCTCTGGATTTTTCTTTCTTCCTAACCTTTTAATAATGAAAAAGTGGTATAATAAAATACATATCCTCTATCTAGATTCAACAAATGTTAGTGTTTTATAATGCCTGATATTTGAAACTAGGTTTTAATTATGAGTCACTTAAATTCATAACTGTGGGAAGAAATCAAGATGGCGGAGGAGTGAGTGGAAGTCACACTGACCTCCTCTAGGACCAATGTGGAATTACAACTAAATTGTGGAGAAATCACCTGGAACAACTGAACAATAGTGAGAGAGGAGCCTTATAACCTCAGACAGAGAGAAGAATCAGCATTAGCACAACCAAACTGGTAAGAGGTAAAGTAGAAACTTGAGAAGGCGGGCGGTGTGCTCAAGGGTGGCCGCACCAGAGAGATATTGAAACAGCCAGATGGATCCGCCTGAGAAGAGCAGGGTCTACACCATAAGCAGGGATCTCTAGCCTACAGCGCCAGAGCCCAAGAAGTCCACAGGTAACAACCAGCTGCAAAAAGCAGCAGGGTTGCTCTCTGCCAGAGATGGGCAGCTGTAGACACAACGAGCCTTTTAAAGGGCCAGCACATAAATTTTTATTTGCAACCACTTACCCTGGTCTCTAGTAAAGGCAGGGCAGAGTGGGCTAGAGACACCTGAGGAGAAACCGGGGAAGGAGGCTTTGGGAAGAGAAATGAGAGAGTAACCAGCAGGATCCTGGTGCTGACTCATCCCCCATATGGCAACAGCCATCTGGCTCAGGGAGACCACTCCCCTAAGTGGCAACACAATATTGAGAGGACACAAGAGCCCCACCCCCAGGAGGGACTCTGCCCCCAGACCAGTGGTGATAAAGCCTGACTACTGAATGCAGAGTGACTAGATTAACAACTGAAGGTGACAGCCACAGATAGTAAATTCCTGAAAGTCTTGAACACACTGCCTAAAGTCCAGCAAGGTCAACATCTGACACCATCAGAGGAAGATCCAGAAAGAGAAAACAGCAGTCTCCTACCATAGAAGTTCACACCACAAAGTCAGGAAATCAAGACAGATCAATTTAAGAAGCGGAAGCAAAAAAGAGTCTTACATAGATAAATAATGGGAGGACAAAGAAACAATCCCTAGTAGAAGGGAAAGGAGGAATCCCCACAAAGAGAACTAAATGAAATAGAGGTAAGTAGAATATTAGATGTTGAGTTCAAAACAATGGTTCTAAGGAAACTCAGTGACCTCAGAAAGAATTACAATAAAACTACAGGGAATAAAATAAAACTACAGGGAAACTACAAGGAACTTATTGTATCAGCAAATTGTATCAGCATGAAGGACACTGAAACTATCAAGAGGCAAAAGGAAATGAAGAATACAATTTCTGAACTGAAGAACACAGTAGAAGGGATCAAAAGCAGGCCAGATGAAGCAGAAGACTGAATCAGTGAGCTGGAGGATAAGTAAAAAAAAGCTCCCAGAAAGAGCAAGAAAATGAAAAAAGACTGAAAAAAGAATGAAGAGGCGTTTACAGAAATACAGGACAACCTGAAACATAATATTATCTATATAACAGGGATACGAAGAGGAGAAGAAAAGGAAGGGATAGAGAACCTGTTTGAAAAGTAATAATGAAAAACTTCCCTAATTTGAGGAGAGGAAAAAGTCACTCAAGTCCAGGAAGCACAGATGGTTCCATTCAAGAGGAACCCAATGAGGCCCACTCCAAGACACATCATCATTAAAATGGCAAATATCAAAGTCAGAGAATCCTAAAGGCAGCAAAGGAGAGACAGTAGTAACATACAAGGGAGCCCTGATAGAGCTAGCAGCTGACTTCTCAGCAGAAACACTACAAGTTAGAAGGGAATGGCAAGAAATATTCCAAGTATTGAAAAGCAAACGCCTGCAACCAAGACTGCTCTACCCAGCAAGGCTCTCAATTAAAATGGAAGGTAAAATAAGGAGTTTCCAAGACAAAAGGCTAAATGAATATGCCTCCACCAAATCAGTACTGCAAAATATGCTAAAGGGACCGCTTTAAGAAGATGAAGAAAAAGAGTCTATGAATACTCAGTTCTTTTCAGACACCAATACTTGATATTATCAGTATTTTTAATACTTATTAATCTGATTGTGACAATGATATGTTATTTTAATTGTTACCTTATCATTGGTTGAAACTAAACCTGTTTTTGTATATTTCTTGCCCATTTCTATTATTTTTAAAGAGCTTTAAATGACCTTTTGGTATTCTTTATCCATTTTTTGATTAAATGTTTGTAGAATTTTTTTGTCTAAAAAACAAAACAACCAAAAAAACTATTAACAGCTTTTTAGATGTGTTGCAAATACTTTCCTATTCTATTACTTGTCCTTAACTTTTTTACATGAATATTACTGTATGGCCTGAAATGCTTAATATAGTCATATTGTCAATACTTTAAAGCTTCTGGGTTTGAATATGTTACTTCAGGGTAAGAAAAATATTATTTTGTATTTTCTCTGGAAACGCCTTAGATTTTATATATTGATTTTTAACTCGCCTGAATATTTGTTGTATAATGTGTGAAACAGGGCTTGATATTTGTTTTATTTCAAGTAATAGTGGTCCATGCACCTTATTTGTTGAATAAGCCTTATTTTCCTCATTGATTTGAAACATCAATTTAATCATATATTACATTGTTAGACAGATATATATGTTTGTTTCTAGAATGCTGAGTTTATCTCACTGATCTACTTGATTATTTCTGTGCTGTGTCATGTTGTTTTAATTGCTGAGACTTTATAATGGATTTAAATTTTAAATATTTTATAATGGATTTTGACATTTAAAGAAATAAATAAAATCAATCTGCATTTTAAAAAAAAGAAAGAAGGAACTCCTTACTTTTATGAGGACATGGATGGAACTGGAGATTATTATGCTAAGTGAAATAAACCAGTTGGTGAAAGACAAATATCATATGATCTCACCTATAAGTGGAATCTATTCAACAAAATAAACTAATGAAGATAATAAACCATAGGCATGGAAACATGGAGCAGCCGGAAAGTGACCAGAGAGGATGGGGAAGGAGGACAATGGTGGAAAGAAGGGGAAGGGACTAGACAAAGAACATGTATGAATGCCCCATGGACACGGACAACCTTGTGGGAATTGACTGTGGGAGCGGGGGGTGTGGAGTGTGTGGTAGTGGGATGGGTGGAGGAGGGCAAAGGGAAAATAATTGAGACAACTGTAATAGAATAAACATGATTAAAAAAATTAAAAGAATTTGCCCAAAATAAATAAATTAATTCATACTTGTGGTTTCAGTAATGAAATAAAATTTTACAGTAACAATTAACCTTTTAGAATATCCTAATAGCAAGAATTTTAAAGTAAGAAAAAGATAAATAGTCCATTCTAAATGGGCGAAGAATACATGTATATATATGAGCATTTCTTTTAAATAATGAAAATGCTCAAAGCATCATTAAAAAATGCCAAAGCATTAATAGTTTTAAGCAATACACAAAGTAAACAAAGAAGTCACTTTTTGGTTTATTTGTTTTGGCAATGAAACTGGGGCGGTGAAGGAAAAAAGGGTAACACCCATGTCAGCAAGGGTTTGTGGAAGGTCATTCTCACATACTGCCAAACTCTAACACATTTTTCTGGAGGACAAATGAGTGAGCAATAGCCTTAAAAATGTACATAATTTTGGCTCAGCAATTTCCCTGTAGGAATTAACTAGGGAAACAAATGAGAAAGTATTAAAATATATAGCAGCAATCTAGCATAACTACATGGGGATAGGCTACTTAAATTCTGGTACAACTATATGATGGAGTATTAACAGGCTATCAAAAAAGACAGTATAAGTGAACATTTATGGACATGCAAAGACATTCACAGAACACTGTCAGTAAAGCAAATAAAACAAGTTAGTGTTCAGTAACTGACAATTTTAAAAATAAAACACACATATATGTGAAAAGAAAAAGTATGGAAGGAACACTAACGGGGTTCAAAAAATATTTGATGACTGAACATTAAGTGTTATTAACAGTTCTCTTGTTGGAACTACAAATGGTTGAAATTTCTTTTATTTCCTTATTTATATTTCCTAGTTCTATAATAAACACCTATTGCCTTTAAAATAAAAACACTATCATAAAATAGCAAAAATCAAAGCAAAAGAGAATATAACCCTTTCTCATCTGTGCTCATATGGCCAAAAATCACACTGCATTTTCCATGCACTGTCTCCCCACTGGTTCATGTTTGTTAAAGTAGGGACTGTGTCTGATGGTTCACTGTATCACTAGCTCCCAGAAATGTATCTGACATATCATTTCAGGTACAGATGAGCAAATGGGCACAGAAAGGACCACAACCCAGGTCACCCAGTTCCTTATATATTTCAAAAACGGTAATAGTTCAGATTGTCCAGACAATCAGATTTACACATCTCAGATACAACATTTTGGTAGAATTACTTTTTATGCTCCTAACAGCAAATCAATCCTTTGCCCTTAAAAACCCAACTCAAGAGATCCTCTCCCTATCTTTCAGAATTAAGTACTTTATTACTATCCCTTTTTGGGGGGAAACTATAAGAGATAATTATAATGATCTTTTATTTGCCTGAAATCTCACATTCACTCAGAGGGAAGACTTGCTTTTTTCCCTCTGGAAATGCTGCTGAGCATGGCATGGGGCAGGGGAAGGGGTGGTATGGATGTTAAGAATGAAGAGTTACCATGACAAGTCTATAAAGGAACAAGGCCTGGAATTTATTTTCTACCATTTCTAATGATAGCACCTATCAAGAACATAGTTTAAAGCATTTTTTTCCCAGAGTGATAAATGAAAAACTTTCAGTACTACAAGATCTTCTTGTACAACTTATATGACCAATTTATATGACAATGGGAATAAAATTAGGAGACAAAAGGGGTTCCTGCAATGATATATGGTTGTCTGAGTGATCTCTAAGTTTCCTTGAAATATTAAGCTCTTAGAAATTTTTAAAAATTTGCTTTGTTTTTATAAAAATAATTAAAAATAGTTTCATTTGGAATGTTTTTAATTCTTGTTGACTATGGAGCCACACTCAGTTTCTATTTTATATCAATATATTCTTTTATTTTACTGTCATTTCTTTAGAAAGAAAATATAAATCCTAATGTATTAAGTCTCAAGAGAGGGAAATGTGGGGTTTCCGGTATCAATCTGACAGTTTTTTCCAAACTGTAATCCCCAAAGATTCTGATTACCCCTTGTATTTGAGAAAGTACTTTATTAATTAGGGAAGCAGGATTGCCCAGTAGAAAAATAAGCAATAAGCCATCACATTAGGAAAAAAAATCTTACCCAACTATAATTATTGACTATAATAAGTTATATGAAGGAAAAACACAGGGTGTCATATTATGAAGGAAAAGGATAGAGCACAAGGAATGGCACTTGTCTGAGAGAGAGGTAGTCAGGAATGTTTTTGAGGAATGGGTATCTGAGCTGAGATCTGAATGGGTAAGGCTGGCAGAGTCTGTTAAGACAAAGGTAGTAACAGGTGGGGAAGAAGGAAACAAGAGAGCCTATAGTTTCAGCAACTGTCTCTCAGGAAAGAAAGATTCCTGCTATTAATAGTTCATTGATTTTGGCCTCTTAAGAGAAGTCACAATACCTTCAACAGAATGCGGATATCATCTTTATTGGAGTTTCCATCTACTCGAGTTACTCTGTATTCTAACCATTGTTGAACTATAGCTTTTTCTTCTGCAGTGCTTCCAAGCAAATATTCTTTGTTGGCTTGCTTGACTAGATGAGCTGCTATAGTAGTCAATCCTGTAAGAGTTGGACCATTGTTTGTTTGAAGAACTGGAATCTTAAAAAGAAAAAAAAGTTCTTCAGGTAAACTTTAAAAACAAATATTATCACAACTGCAATTCTAAGTAATCACCGAATCCCTCAACTGCTTTTCAAATACTCTAAGATTTTACTTTAAGATACTTAATTATGTAAATAAGAGTCAGGAAAATAGCAGCTATATAATTTATATTTGATAACAGATGTTGATGATGAAACAGGTAGTAACATTGCAAAAATCAGGTATATGTTTCTATATAATTTATAACTGTGTATGTAAAAAAGAGAAAATGAAAATCCTAAAACATGTATAAATTTCTATCAAGTTTACCCATATCCTACTTTATTTTAGTAAGGTGAACATGCTTAAATAAACCCACCTTCTATGATAGCAAAAATAAGTTATAGTAACAGAGTTCATGTTGGTAGACTGGGTGGGCCAAAAAGTTTTTTCCACATTATGGCTCTAGTAGTGCTTAGTTGTGTTTAACTTCAAAACAATTTTGTTAGATTGCATTGTGACAGCTGTCATATCAATGTGCATTAAAAAAAAACTTATCAAAATTGGTGAATTTTTGTGTTGCCATTTTAATATTGAAGATGGAAGAAAATATGCAACATTTTTGGCATATTATGCTTTATTATTTAAAAAAAGGTAAAAATGCAACTGAAATGCAAAACAAGATTTTTGCAGTGTACAGAGAAGGTGCTGTGACTGATCAAATGCGTCAAAAGTGGTTTGCGAAGTTTCTTGGTATTATTGACATTTTGGTCAAATAATTCTTTGCTGTGGGGCTGTCTTATGCATTGGAAGATGTTTAGCAGCATCCCTGGCCTGCACCCACTAGAAGCCAATAGCAGGAGATAGCCAACATACTCAAGATATCCAAATCAATAAAGTTATTGGTGAAAATGAGTCTGTTACTTTACGGAAAAAACTAATGTGTCTGTTACTTTATGGAAAAAACTAAGTGGACTTTTTGGCCAACCCAACAGTTAGAACCACCAAATGGGATCTAGGCTGGTTTTAGCGATATGGGATCTAATATAATTACCTATCTCATTAACTAGGTGTGGACTGGACTGTGACGGTGACTTGGTTGTCATGGACTGCATACTCATCCATTCTGGAGTCATTTAGAGTGAGGTCACTGTAAATGTTGGTCCATATTTCATATTTTTTTTAAAAAGTGCAAAATATAATTGGAGTTACTGATAATAAAGTCTGGGCTTCAAGTAATCATCGGAAAAATACCCCTACTTTTCTTTTTCCCCTATTTTAACAGCAACACAAAGGGTCAGATCATAAAAATTTCTAACTGATATAAATGTTCTTGATGTATAACTAAGTGAAACACTGTAAGAAATTGAAAAGAAAATGCAAAGAATCATCCAAGGGGGAGACCAATCAATTTAAATAACAAGAATACAATATAAATGACCTATGAAAACCAAAAAAGCATATATTCTGGGGAAGATTGCTGCTCTTTGCAGCCATCGAATAGTATCTGATACTCGTATAGTGATTTACACTTTTCAGGGCATTCTCATGCCTAGATCAACAGGATTCTGTGCCGTATATGGGGAGATTAACATTTCATGGCTACAGGGTCAAAGGTTACCCACTGAAAGTTAAAGAAAGTAACTCTCCATTTTCCACTTCTTCACCTACTACTAAAATTCTGATGGAGTCAAAAGTTATACGTAGAGTCAAAAGTTTTACCTTCATGAGGGGTTGGTACCTTAAACTTCCACATTGTTCAAAGGTCAACAGTATTTCCCATTCACTGCTTAGCTCCTTGAATTCTCCCTTTTGCCTCCACACTCAAATAAAACTACCACCTCTAAAATAATCAATAATTTCCTAAAGAAATGTATCAAAAGAACACGAAACCTGAGGTGCTGGTACTGTCCTCTTCCTTGACTATGTGATTAGCTGGGTGTGTTCACTCTGCAGAAACTCACTGAGATTTATATGATTTTCTGAATGTATGTTTATCTTGGAAGGAAGGAGTGAGGGGAAGGAGAGAGGGAGGGAAAGAAAGAAGAGAAAAAGAAACCAAAGAATTTGCAACTGTGAGTGTGTGGGGGTTGGGGAGGGGGATATTTCTAAAGAAAATTATTAGTAAAATAAATTATGCACAACCCCAGCACACTAACACAAAAAACTCTCAGTTACCTTCTCATCTAATCATTACATCTTGTAAAATAGGCAAATAATCTCTCCCTCATTTTACAGCTAAAGAACCAAGGTCACCAGAAATGGCAGAGTCAGGTTTAAGTAAAGTACAACTGGCTCCAAAATCCATGCTGTTTTCTTTGCACAGACTATAGTACAGAAATCTTACCCAGTTGCAATCATGGGAAACATATGATTTCCATATTCATCTTAGGGTTCCAGGGTTTTCAATTAATCACTATTTTTAAAAAGAAGATTTTACTTATTTTGAGAGAGAGGAGTAGGGAGGGAGAAAGAAAGGGAGAGAAACATCAATTGGTTGCCTCACATACGTGCCCCAACCAGTGGACCAGGTCTGCAACCAGGCATATGCCCCGACTCGGAAGTGAACCTGCAGTCTTTCGCTTTGTGGGACAACACTCAACCAACTGAGCCATGCTGGTCAGGGCCAATTAATCACTTCTAATGTCTACATAAGTAATATTCCACTGTGCTGATAATACTGTGATTTAATGAACCATTCCCTTAGAGCTGGACCTCTGAACTGTTTTCAATTTTTAATTACTATCGGTAATGTTGCAGAGAATACCTTATTGCTGGCTTACTGCTGTCAATTGTCTTCCAAAAAAAATAAATAAATAACTGAATCTTATCAGATATCCTCACACATATGTAGATACTTTCAATAGCTGTCCTCTCCACCCCCCCCCCAAAATACTCTGAATTCCAAAGCCTTCACAACTGGGCCTCAAATTGTAATTTGAGGTTTACTTTGCATTGTGTCACTCATCATATTCCTCTACTATGTTGCTCCAAACCTCTCAATCTTTCATAATTTATTGGTCTTACAAAATTTAAACACGAACTTTTCTGTGAGGTTTACAAATCCATTCTTATAGTCAGAATTAACTTTCTTCTCTAACCTCCTAAACAATGGCTACCTCCATTTAGTAAACATTCTGTTCTGCTTTAAATTAGCTGCCACTGACTGTTTCTCATACTAGATAATAAAATTCCTGAAGGTAAGTCTCATCTCTTAGCAATGTTTCCTTAAAAATAGAAACCAAACTAGTGAATAGTGGCTGAAAGGAAGGAATCAGCATGAGGCCTGAGGAAAAGGCAAAAGCAGATCACTTTGGTTCAAATGTCTAATCTGCAACCATTACTGGGCAGCTGATCTTAAGCAAGTTCTGGACCCACTGTAGCCTTCAGTATAACTTATGTGTAAGAACTACAATACGTTGTTTTTAAGATGAGATTTATAACAGGGGCCAAATGAAGAACAGAAAATAAACATCATTTGGAAAAAAAATCTCAAGGAGGCAAAAATGTATAGTTTATGTACTGTGATGAGGTCAATCGCAGACTGCATGCATATACAACGGTGGTCCCATAAGATAACGAGGAAGCTAAAAAACTCCTGTCACTAGTGATGTCACAGCTATCATTAATAGAGGGGAATGTTTATGGTGATTTATCGGCTTCCAAGCAAATCTATTACGAAAAAACAAAAACAAAAACAAGCAAACCACCATGCTTGACATATTTCTGAACAGGAGTGACTCTTCCACGAAAAGAGTCTCAGGCAGGCCCTTCAGGATTTATTCCAGAAGGAGGATTGTCATCACAGGAGATGACGGCCCCATGTGTGTTATTGTCCCTGGAGACCTTCCAGGATCCAGCCAAGACAGAGGTGTATGTAGATACACTTTGCCTCCTTGCACAACCAAAAGAAAGATAACAACAAATTTAAAAACAAAAAATAACCAGAACTGTCAGAAATGAACTATATGGAAATCCAACAACCAAGGAGTTAAAGAAACATTCATCCAGACGGGTAGGAAGGGCACAGATGGGCAGCCGGGATGGAGAGGACATGCGGCAAGGCTGCGGCTGGTAGACTGGGTGGTCCCACATTTGCTAGCACGTAAACCAGAAGGAAAAACTGGGGAGCGAGACAGACCGTGCAACCCAGGGCCCCAGTGCAGGAAAAGAAGTCTCAAAACCTCTAGAAGTAAAAACCTGTGGAGGTTCTGGTATAGGGGGAAAAACTCCCAGCCTCACGGGAGAGTTTGTTGGAGAGACCCACAGGGCCCTACAATGTACAGAAACCCACCCACCCAGGAATCAGCGCTAGAAGGGCCCAATTTGCTTGTGGGTAGAGGGGGAAATAACTGAATGCCTGTGAGAGCTGAGCAAGCAGCACTGTTCCCTCTTAGACCCCACCCCAACATATACTGCCTCAACTCAACGACCAGGGTGCCCTGGTGAATGCCTACAGCTCCACCCCTTCCAATGTAACAGGCATGCTGAGACAAAGAAATATGGCCCAAAGGAAAGAACAGATCAAAGCTCCAAAAACACAATGAAGCAATGAACAGATAGCCAACCTATCAGATGCACAATTCGAAACACTGGTAACCAGGATGTTCCTAGAAATGGAGGAGTATGGTCACAAAATAAGAGGAAAAAGTGAAGGCTATGCAGAGGAAAATAAAGAAAAATATACAGGGAACCAACCAACAGTGAAGGGGAGGAAACCGGGACTTAAATCAATGATTTGGAGCAGAAGGAACAGATAAACATTCAACCAGAACAGAATGAAGAAACAAGAATTCAAAAAAAAGAGGAGAGGCTTAGGAACCTACTGAACAATTTTTTAATGTTCTAACACCTCAATCAAAGGGGTACCAGAAGGAGAAAAGGAAGAGCAAGAAATTGAAAACTTATTTGAACAAATAATGAAGGAGAACTTCCCCAATCTGGCAAAGGAAATAGACTTCCAGGAGATCCAGGAAGCTCATAGTCCCAAAGAAGTTGGACCCAAGGAAGCACACACCAAGGCACATCATAATTAAGTTACCCAAGATTAAAGATAAGGAGAGAATCTCAAAAGCAGCAAGAGAGGAGACAGTTACCTACAAAGCAGTGCCCATAAGACTATCAGCTGATTTCTCAAAAGAAACCTTGCTGGCAAGAAGTATTCAAAGTCATGAAAGACAAGGACCTACATCCAAGATTACTTTATCCAACAAAGCTATCATTTAGAATGGAAGGGCAGATAAAGTGCTTCCCAGGTAAGGTCAAGTTAAAGGAGTTCATCATTACCAAGCCTTTATTATATGAAATGTTAAAGGGACTTATCTAAGAAAAATAAGATAAAAAACTATGAACAGTAAAATGACAACAGGCTCACAGCTATCAACAACTGAAACTAAAAAACAAAAACAAAAGCAAACTAAGCAAATAACTAGAACAGGAACAGAATCACAGAAATGGAGATCAGAGGGGAAGAGGAGGAGGGAGGAGAATGGGGGAAGAGGAACAGGGAATAAGAAGCATAAATAGTAGGTACAAAATAGACAGGGGGCAGTTAAGGACAGTATAGGAAATGGAGAAGCCAAAGAACTTATATATACGACCCAGGGACATGAACTAAGGGGAGCGGGAATGCTAGTGGGGGGCGGGGTGCAGGATGGAGGGGGATTAAGGGAGAAAAAAACGGGACAACTGTAATAGTATAATCAGTAAAATAACTATCTATCTATCTATCTATCTAAGATAACAACAAAAAAGACCTTCCAGAGGGTCAAGAGGTGGAGCTGAAAGATACTGACTTTGTGTGGGCCTAGGCTAATGTCTGTGTTTGTGTCTCAGTTTTTAACAAAAGTGTAAGAAGAAAAATAAAAATAAAAAATTTTAAAATAGAAAAAGTCTTACAGACTAAGGAATGAAGAAAAAGTATTTTTGGAAGCTGTATAATGTGTTTGTATTTTAAGCTAAGTGTTCTTATGAGCCAAAAAGTTTTTAAATATTTAAGTTTATATTATAAAAAATTATAGTAACCTAAGATCAATTTATTACTGAAGAAATTTTTCCTTATAAATCTAAGGTAGCCTAAGTGTACAGTGTTTATAAAGTCTACAGAACTATACAGTAATCTCCTAGGCCCTCACATTCACGCACTATGCACAGACTCAGAGCCACTTCCAGTCCAGCAAGCTCCATTCAGGTCAGTGCCCTATACAGGTGTACCATTTTTTAAAAAATTGTTTTATAGCATATATTTACCTTTTCTATGTTTAGAGATACAGATTTTTACCATTGTGTACATTGTTCCAACTTGCCACTGTTCCAACTGTCTACAATATTCAGTACAAAGACATGCTGTACAGGTTTGCAGCCGAGCAGCAACAGATGTACCATGTAGCCCAGGTGTGTAGTAGGCTATAAATAAATCTAGATTTATTTGTGTGTCGCTCCATCATGTTCTCCCAAGGATGAAATCGCCTATCTGGAATAATCTCAGAAGGTATCCCCACCAATAAGCAATACAGACTGCACATACAAAATTGTCTTCATACATTCTCCTCCTCTACATTCCCTAAAAGGCGAATAATGGTCTTAATAAAACACAAATGTCCTTCAATACCTTGAGAAATCTGGGTCCCTATACCTCACCAGTCAAGCTCATAGTTTTTCTCCTTCACTCTCTCATGTTGCATTGCAAACTGAAATCGATGCACAGGCCTCAGAAAAGCAATTCCCTGAATCTTTCAGGTTGGGCCACGACCTTTGTGTTCTCTAAACAGTCTACGCTTCAATGTATTACTATTCAGTATTGCAATGAACATAGCTGCAATGTTTGTCCACCCGGCTGAAAAAGCAGGTTTCCCGAGGAGAAGGAGCGCACCAGGCCCAGCACACTACTTATTACTAGGCATCCTGTTAGCTCTCTGGAGTAGCTGCGTAATAATGAATGAAAGGTACTCGTACAGTAACTGATGTCATTGAATGCAAACGCGGAACCTCCAGACTGGTCTATCTATGGATTCTTTGAGGATCCTCTTCGCTTTCTCGGAATAGGATTATAAAATTTACCAGAAGGGAATGTTCGGGCCAAGCCCGACCGGAGCAGGTTCCCTCTCCCCTTTCCACGAGCCAGGGCTGCCGGAAGAGGCCCAGAGGCACCAGCCCGCCCCACGGAGCCGACACATGTGGAGACGAGGGGCCGCAACCTCACTCCGTCCGCCTCTGCCGGCCAGTCGATCCTACCTACGCTCAGCAGGCCCCGCTGCCATCCACCTCTTCCCCTCCGCGGTTCTGCTTCTCACCTGGCGTTCGCCCTGAGCGCTGTATTTGTTCCCTTTACTCAGCCCTAGGGACTTCTCCAGCAGCGCCAACTCTGCGGCCGCCGCCATCTTCCGGTCTGAGCTGATGGCAGGGGCGGAACCAGGACAGCAAGGATCTCCGGAATTGGTGGGGAGGAAAGACCCTCCCACAAAACTCTCCAGCTATTGGCTGAACTGAGGGCCTAGAAGGCGGGTCTGCGCACAGCAGGCGGGGCCAAGGCAAGGGAAAGGAGGAGGTGTGAGACAGGTGGAGGGGTGGTGGTATGGTTCCCTGACTTTGCGGAGCTCTTGAGGCTGTGCCTGCAGAGCCCGTCTTTGGTTGCCGCAGTAGACTGCATCTGACAATTTACAAACAGCAGGCTCTTGGTTTGACTGCCAGAGTTAACTGGTTAACAGGTTTATACATAATTGGAACCGTCTTTACCTTAGTTTAGCTGAGGTCTCTGAATTTGAATGATTGAGCTGAATAGCCAAGAGTTCACAATCTGTTAGGGGTTTCCAACATATAGCATTATCCATGAGGATTTTTAATTGTGTTTTAATGGTGAAATGGAAAAACTAAATTTTCTTTTGTAAATCTACAGCTCAATAGTAGCAGTAGAATATAAATTTAAGGATTATTTATACAGCACTGCCTGCGTTAGTATCAAGTAATTCCTATAGCCCAAGAAAATCAGCCACTAACAGTTTTAAGGATCTTTATTAGCAATATCAAAAAGATAGTGATATGATTTATGTAGCCTTTGTTACGTAAGTAAGCAATGAACATGAAGTTTCCCAAGTTGCTATATTTTTATATCTTCAAAGTAGAAAATGTGCAGTATATTTTGAAGACTTTACCCCTATTTCCAAGAGATTTCTGAAAAAAATTTCCATATCACAGAATGAATAAACAAAATGTGTTTTAGTTCCAGAAAAATGGAAAAGAATTATTACAAGGTAGTTCATCACTAAATGAGAAATATAGAAGTTTAGTGGAAAATGTTGTACTGTGTGACATCTTTCCTATTCTAGAATACTTAATAAGTTAACGCTGGTAGCAGAAGTAAATGTAAGGAAAAGAGAATTTGGCCAAATCAACATAAAAAATACAAAGAAAAGTTCATTATAATTGCATTATGCATTAGTAATTTGTTGATTTTCCATTTATTGAAAATTGAATAACTACTTCACTACTTCCAAATAGGCTAGTCTTCTGAGAAAATTCACATATCTATTGTCAGTGTTTAGGTACACTTTTTGCTTGCAGTAAGACATTTAAAAAATTTTCAGTTATTTTATTCCAGTGGGTGGTATTTTTAAAATAAGGCTAAGCCCTGGTCAGGTGGCTCAGTTGCTTAGTTGGAGCGTCATCCAGTACACCAAAAGATTACGCATTCAATTCCCAGTCAGAGAACATACCTAGGGTGTGAGTTTGATCCCTGGTCCGGGCATGTGCAGGAGACAACCAACTGATGTTTCTGTCTCGCATTGATGTTTCTTACTCTCTCTCTCCCTCTTTCAAAAATCAATAAGCATATCCTTGGGTGAGGGGAAAAAAAGAAATAAAATAAGGCTAATTAACCTAAAGTGAGATTTGAGTTCCAGTATCAAATACCTGAGTAGATGTTCCCCCAAATGATACAAGTGATAATTTTAGAGGAGTAAGATTGGATAAATGGTGTAATATCACTTTTTAATTTATGCTTTTTGATTTGAATTATTGCAGATAGATTTTGTAATTAAAAAGAAACTTTGTTCGCTTTAATGTAGTTTCAAGCTTTTTTCTTCCCTCCAAATCCTGAAGGTTTCCCTGAATTTCCTTTTCTTTCTGGTATTCTTTTGTTGTGCATGTTCATGACCCAACGGGGGTGGGGGGGCGGTATGGAATTGGTTACCCACTGCAGCACATAAAAAGGGGCAAATTTAAACTGGATTTCAGGAGCCAGAGATTCTAGTCTAGCCAACAGTAACTAGTTATGTCACTTTAGGTAGGCAGTTAACTCCATCGGGACTCAGTTTCCCTAAGAATAACTCAGTGGGCTTGGATTAGATATTCTCTCTTTTTCCTTTTGGTGTTGACATTCTGTCTTTCAATATTGAAAGTCAATATGTGTTTCACTTTTTGCCTTAAAGCAAACATATTTTTGTATACTTTTGCCTTTAAGTGGACATGAATTTTGTACTAGTGATGTAATTGTGTAATGTAACTGTACTTCTAATGCAATTTTGTGTAGTTGGCTGGAAGGGCTTTTTGTTGTGGCCAGCTGTGGTGTATAAATATACTGGCTTGCCTATTTTGAACAGAATTTATGCATGACCATAGAGAAAGGGGTCTAAGTGTCCCTGTCATAATCTCAATTCTTAATATCAACAGACAAGAAAGAGGATCAGAAGTGCTTCATGTACAAATGCTCACAAGGGGCCTGTACTTGGTGTAATGCTCAGGTGTTGCCATCTTAAAATTCTTAACGGTGTTTTAAAAAGGGTTCCAAAAGTGTTTTAGCCAGTTCTGCATGTAAAGCTTATTACTTTTGCTTTCTGAGTCTAATAGACTGGAAAGATTCCAAGAAGCATTTTAGGATTTGACCTTCAGTGCCCAGACAAAGGAAAATGAATATACCTTTAATGAATGTAGATCTATTGCAGAAACTCCAATAGTATGGCTGCTTTTGGCAGAAGGAGGATGAAGAGGGAGGGAGGAAGAGACTGGAGTTGTGTGAGGAGATACTGGAATTTGTGGCCCCTAGGAGATAGCTGAGAGGGCAACCACCAGAACTCCTAGGTGAGTCCCTATCCCACACTGCAGACACCATCTTTCTTGGGTAAAGCACTCCCCTCCACAGGGCATCAGCCTGGGGGAATGCAATTGCCCCGTCCTCTGGACTCCATCTCACACTGCAGAGCTCATGCCCTGCTGAGAAATCAGCTGCCTGCGCCAGGGTATAGACGTCTGGGAAAACTCAGGAGGTGTCATTGACTAAGTGGTTTAGCTTTGGGGCAGGGGCCGTTCTTCCCACTTTCTCTTGAACCTTACTGGTGCCTACTTCTCTAGCCCCACCTTCTGGACTCCAGTTGGCCCTACTCTTTCAACTCCTGATGGCCCTCTCCTGCCAAGGTCTGGGCAGAACCTGGGACAGACTGAGTTGTGTGAGTCTGGGGTAAGAGGCCACTCCTCCCACCTTCCCCTAACTCTGACTGGCACCTCCCCCTCATGGAAGATCTATTAGCCCCACCCTACCTCCCGACTCCTGGCAGCCTATTGTGTTGAGCTTGGGTTTTTGGCATAGTCTTAGACAGACTAAGTTGTATGACTCTAGGACGGGGACCATTTTTCCCTGCATTACCCTACCAGTGCAGAGCCCTCCATTCACACTGCCAAATTTCAGCCTGATAAACTGTGCTGGTCTCATCCTGATGATTCCCTGAACCCTGCCACACCACAAAGTCTGTGGGCATCTGGTGAGTGGCAGCTAACTTACTATAGCCTTGCCAAGTGGCCTCAGACCCAGGACTGGCACTGAGTTTGAACCTGTATCAATTTAGAGAATACCAGTCACTCACCTCACCTGGTGACTCACTGAGAATCTACTACATACAATTCAAGTACTCAAACACACAATTGGCAGGTAGAGGTGGGCAGAAGCAGATCTCAGGGTGCCTTGGGACTTTCGCTGACTGTCTCTGGGCCTGGAGCTGGTAAAAACCAGCACTGGTGTGCAGTGTTCCTTCCCACGAACACCCAGGCCCAGCAGAGGCAGCCGCAAACTGTGGATCACTTTCTAGCTCTAAACAGGTTCCCCAGGGCCAGCCACAAGCAGCGTCTGAGATTGTCTTGCACCAGAGTCCCTCCCAAGAGGACCCAGAACCAACACACCTAGTGGCCAACTTCAGACAACATCAGAGCAAGGTCCAATTAGCTTTGAAAGTGCAAAGGAAGTCCAAAGGAAGAGCTTGGAAGGAACCAGCCCTGGCTGAGGTGAGTTTAGCTTTATGTGATTACCTGCAGAGAAGTTCATACACTATGGTCGAGGCCAATCCTCACAGTTGACCACATGCGAGAACAGGACAAGAGCAATCAAGACTCGATTACAACAGGAGGGTCCATATAACACACACAGGGGCATTCCTGGAGCACCAGGTAAGGTGAAGGAGACTGCCTGACTGGGTTCCACAGGACACCTACTACCTAAGAATACCTTATCACCACTTGGAATCATAGCACATCTACCTAATATATTACTGCATATGGAGAACCCTTAAGATTCCACACATAAAAAAGTCTACTAGAAATCATAAAAGGATTCAATAATGTAGCAGGATATAAAATAAACATCCAGAAATCAGTTTCATTTTTATACACCAATAATGAATGATTAGAAAAGGAAACTAAGAAAATCTTATTTACAATTGCATAAAAAAAAACACCTTAGGATAAATTTAGCCAAGGATTTAAAAAGGCCTATACTTGGAAACTATAATACATTGTAGAAAGAAATTGAAGAAGATACAAATAAGTGGAAGCATATACTGTGTTCATGGAAAGAAAGAATTAACATATGCATGTTCATACCACCCACAGCAATCTGTGGATTCAATGCAATTACTATCAAGTTACCAATGTCTTTTTTCACAGAACTAGAAGAACTAGAACAAATATTCCAGAAATGTATATGGAACCACAAAAGACTCTGAACAGCCTCAGCAATCTTGATAAAGAAGAATCATGTTAGCTGATATACTACAAGGCCACAGTATTCAAAAGAGCATGGTACTGGCATAAAAAAAGATATTTAGATCAATGGAACAGAATAAAGAGCCCAGAAATAAACATATGCCTTTATGGTTAATTAATGGAGTGGCAAGAGCGTAGAATAGAGTAAAGATAGTCTGCTCAACAAATGATGTTGGGAAAATTGGACAGACACATGTAAAAAATCAAATTAAACCATATTCTTACACCATACACAAGAAAAAAGTCAAAATGGATTAAAAACTTAAATGCAAGACTTGAAATCATAAAAATCCTAAAAGAAAACAAAGGCAGTATGATCTGGGATATTTCTTTTAGCAATATTTTTTCTGATATGTCTTTTCAAGCAAGGGAAACA